GCATCTTGGTCCACTGGGGCCCCCCACCCCCATAGAATTATGGGGGGGTACCACTTTCAAAATGACTCTACCCTTACGTGGCAGGAAACGGCTTCTCTTCGAGCTGTTAAGACTGGGTTCAAGCGTAACCAACAAATCAATTTAACCATCTATCAGCCGCGCGCGCGGAGCTGCGCGCAGAAAAGGAAGGCGAATTAGGGTTCCAAGCTAGTTGCAGCTATGTCGAGATTCTCTGGCCAGCTCAAGAACTTCTGAATTGCAGATGCCGAGTGCAGAAAAAAGCTCTTCCTTCGAGAGCGAGCAGCACAAGCGTTTAAGAAACCACGAATTCTTAGAGAGTTTGCCCTGCAGTGTCACCCACATCTTGAACGCTCGTGTTCAATGCACATGGTTCCCTAAAAAACATTGTGGGGCTCGCTCTGAGAAGCAGGATGCAGCACGTTACGCTCACAGCTTCCCACGCGAACCTCGAAACGTAATTAGAGCCTGACCGTCTTGCTTTCGGAGCCATGGTGGCCTCTGCGTCGTCCTACCAAGGAGGCCCCTTCGTGGAGGCCTTCTCGAGCAGCGGGAGTAACCCGTTGGTCAACTGCAAACTGTCGGGCGAGAAGGGCGTGCAAAAGGTGTACGAGAAGACAGTCAAGGGTTACGTCTACACCCTCACTGGAGCAGCTTCCAAGCTCCAGCTACCGAAAGACGAGAGGAAGTCGCCCCTCCACTTCCTGCAGCAGTTTCTGGTGTTGCAAATCTATGCCCCTGCAGGGCAGCATTTCGCCATTGAGCTTGGGGTAAGCTTCCGAAACCATGCGAATTTGAGCCGAAAGTGTTATACTACTTGGTCCTGTGCATGCTGTTCTTGCAGTCGCAAGCAAGAAGGGGAGCTGCTGTCTGCAGGCAGTTCATTGACCAGCGTATCAGTCCACATTTGCTCTGTGGTAAACTTGCCCACAATTGTACTTGAAACGGGTTCCCAACTCGATGTTCTGACTGCAGGAGCTAGCTGTACTCTCGTGCATCTTGACCTTTGGGAATCGAGTGCCGGCTTTGCTTCAGTCACTTGCTCTCTTGCACAGGACCTCCTTCAGTCTCTCGCTACGCACTTGAGTTACGTCAGAAGAATGAATCTCGATGTTTACGTCAGAAGAGTGAATCTCGACGTTTCTTTTCTCATTGCTCAACATTTCCTGCTCCCTGCAGGTTACTGATAGCAGCGGTTCAAAGAGGAAGCTCTACTTCTCCACAGCGTTCCACGAAGTCAAGACGACGCCGCTGCACTGCCAAGTCCCTCTAACCGCCCTGGAAAGAGATGTCTGGCTGAACCTCGCCTTTGACCTGGTCGATCTCTTTGGCGCTTGCTTCCGGGGCCTCACCTACAGGTGAGCCGCTTTCCGTAACAAACTTCCATGACTCATGCACATGAGAAACGAATCACAAGTGAAAGCAATTCGAGAGGTAAAAATCGAGCTCGGCCAATTCACTCAGGAAAACAGAGATAGCGGAGGTGGAGATACGCACGCCGTTTTTTGGACCATCTTTAGTCAGTCAAATAGGTTTTGGTTGTATTCTTAGATTGGTCACCACTGCTTCTATCCAGGCATGTGAAGCAGCGAAAAAGGGCGATCTGTCACCATTCAGAAGCTTATCAGAATCAGTGATCGGGATTATGTTGCCCAAAGAATGTGGTGAAGATTGTCACACTGAACCAAGCGCTTGGCCGGAACCGTTCTTTACCAACTGCAGTTCGCCCGCTGAGACTTGAAATCTGTGCTTCCTGCAGTGGTAAACTAAAGAAAAGAACATGATCTGCAAAACTAAGGTGTCAGCTTTAGTCAAACGCCCAGTCTCCTCTGCTGTTCAATACCTTGGACTTCATGTGAGACATCTCAATTGTCTACTTTTGCGTACGTCTCAAGCTTAAAACTCTTGCACATTTGCGAGCCCTCCACTTCGACCGACCTTTGCAACGGACCTTGATAGAGTCCAAGCATCATCGTGTATCACTTTCTATCCATCGCAGGCAACAAACAACACCCTTGATCAGGCTTCGAAAGTCGACAAATTGTGAGCTCGTTCACATTAAGTCAGCTAAAGACTCACTCCTCCATACCCATCCCACACAGGTCGCTAGACGTTCTGGTCCTTGGGAGCGTGTGCCGGCTGCGCAAGATCTTCACTCTTCGCCAGCAGCCGATCGACTCCGCCGACCCCTCGTTTGTGGGAGAACCCGTCCCCTCCAGCCTGGACTATCCGACAGGCGTCCAGTACAAGAACCAAGTTCTCAACGCGTCTCGCATCAGGGGGGCGCTCGCAGAGACGGCGTCGGCCAAGCGGCTGAGCTCGGAGGACCCCCTCTCGACGAAGGGGGGCGCAAAACGGCTCTCAGGGAGCACCCACGTGGCCTTTGGATCGCGGACGGCCGTTCCCCCGGCTCCGTTGATCGTGGTCCCTTCCAATGTCGACTTGTCGCACAGAAGTGGTGGGGTTGAAGCCCCGCAGGGCGCCGTTAAGAAAGGGGAGAAGAGCGAGCGGTTGCCTTCGAGTCGGAAAGCGAGCGCGCAGGAGCTGAAAGCGCCGAAGAGAAACGGTCACGTGGCATCAGCGGAGGAGGACGACGCAGGCGAGGAGTGGAGCCCGACGGAGCGCTCAAGTGAGCCGGAGGCGCCCGCGTCAAAACGGCGAGTTCCGGGAAAAGCGGAAATGAGCAAAACGGGGGCCCCGAACGCGGTTGCGCCTTCTGGAAAGGCAGGGAAAGCCGGCAACGTGCCGGGTCCGAGCAAGAAAGAAGCCGCGAAGAAGCTTCCGGTTCGAGCGGAGAGTCCGGTGACTGCGTGGGGAGACGGTGCGGGGACCGAGACGCCGGAAGAGACTCTGCTCGCTTCCATGAGTGCGGATTGGAAGCAGGCAAAGAAACTAGAGCGAGGGCAAATGTCTGCGCAGCGCGACAAATCCTTTCCGCTGGAACAGTCTCCAAAAGAGACGGCTGATGATAGCAGAAGCAGCCGGGGATCCAGCCGGCGCACCGTGCGGTTTAGCGAGGAAGGGGAGGCCCTGTCACGGGTGGAGACGCCTCTTTCGGAACCAAAGGTTGGTGAGCCGTCCGAAAACAGGGCCCCACGGGACGCTTCACCCCGGGAACGAGGCTTAGAGGCCCGGGACGTTTTGGCTGAGCTGGAGAAGGAGCTGGCGGGGCTGACAGCTGGCACGCGGAACTCCCCCCGGGCGGAACTGTGGCGCAGCAAAACGGACGGGTTCTCCCGGAGAAGCTCCGTGAGGGGGTCGGGGGACGAGGCAAAGACGGCGGAGGTTCAGCCTTCGTTCGATCTGGTGGGTAGAGAACAGGAAGAGTTTGGGGGGGTGGACGAGCGCGAAACGATGCGGGAGGAGAAACTGTTGGCGGTGGCGGCGATGGAGGAGTGGGATGAGGCGCGCAGAGACGAAGGTGTGAATGGGCGCTTGGAGGACGATGTTGTAAATGAGCCCTGGGAAAGTGCGAGTAGGCGAAGGGATCTGACGGGGAGATCTGGGGGTTTGGAAGCTGACGCCATTGAGGAGGATGGTGTGAATGAGCGCTTTGGTGGAGAGGCCGGTGTGAACGAGCACATGGGAAGAGACACTGCTGTGAACGAGCGCTCCGAAGAGGAGGGTGGTGTGAACGCGCGCTTCGGTGAGGACGGTGGTGTGAACAAGCACTCCGAGACTGGAGTGATTGAGCACTTTGAGGTGCACCACGAGGCAGCCAGCAGCGGGCGCGCTTCGGAGGACACGTGGCGCTCTCGCCGATCGAACAGCCGGTACAGCCAGGAGAGTGACGACAGTGACGTCACTCCAAGGGCGTCACAGGAAAGGGTGCGAAGAGACGACTGGAATGCGCAGAAAGGGGAGGGGGCAGGCAGCCAAAGGAACAGCCCGCTGAGTAAGGAAAGCGGGGGGTGGGGGCGTGTTTCCGGAGATCTACGAAGTAGTGAAGAAAGGAAAGGCGAAAGAATATCTGCGGGGTTACGGGGCAGTCGAAGTTTGGTGACTGAGGAACAGGAGGAAAGCGAAAGGCTTTTCAGGGGATCGGGGATGGCAAAAGCTCTGGGGGCAGAGAAACGGCCGCCGAGCATCGATTGGGAAGCGGAGGACGACGTGCGGAGCAGCCTGGGAAGCTTAGAGGGTTCCGAGGGCGGCCCGAGCCTCAGTGCCGAGCGGCGAAGCTTTAGAGGTCTTTCCGGCCGGAGGAGAACGAGTAACAGCAGATCGGGGCACGGCGGCAACGACAGAGCTGCTGACGTGAGCGGCTCACTTACACGTGGCAGCAGCAGAAGCAGCTTGAGAGAGAGTCTGGCGCCACGTGTCAGCAACAGAAGTGGCCCGCGATCTTCGAGGGATCCCCGGCAGCCAGCGGGGCTGGATCCAGCGTCCAGGGCAAAGAGGACTGGTAACGTCAGCAGGCGGACGTCCGAGGTCGAGACCAGCCTGTCCGAGTGGACGGCAGCCGCTGACGTCAGTCCCAGCGCAGACACGGTTCCTGCTGACGTCACGAACCCGGCAGCCCAGGAGAATAACCCGCGAAGTCGGCCGGCGTCGATTGCTGCCCTTAACTTGACGATGAGGCCGGAGGACATGGATCTGCTCTTCGACCCCATCCTCAAATGCTTTTACGACCCCAAGAGCAACAAGTACTACGATCTCAAAGACGAAGATGACTCTTTGATTTGAACGGAGGGATTTGCAGTTAGCTTCTGAGTGTGGGCGAGGACCGTGGTTGATCAGGACCTTCGCTTTCATTTGAAAATGAGCGCAAGGTGAGGTCTACTCGCTCATGAGCTTGCCTTCACGTGATGAGGCAATCTAATACTAGAGATCGAACGATAAGTTTTGTATTAATCAGTGCAGCTGATGACGTTCGTCGTTGACTTGACTCGTGAGCAGTATGGGATTGCAATGACGCAGAGCATCAAGTCTGAATGATTAGATAGCAGCTTACATGTATGCACAGCTCAATCAACCTTTTAGCTTTCAAGGCTTCCAGCTGAATGCCCTGCATGGAATTTGACGACGTGCCCGCTGGCCACTTTGAGCTGAGCATAATGTCCACATGTGATCCTCAGAATCGTAGTAGTACTCCTCTCAGCTCGTAGTACGTGCACTTGCCGATCAAGCATATGCATGGAACAAAAACCTGGCAAGTGCTGACTTTGCCACCGCGGGCGCCTCTGGTGGCATATTAAATCCGGCGTCATCCGTTTTCGGATCGTGCTGGAGCCAATTGTCTACGAGCTAGCTTGAAGTGTTTTCGAATCTGGTGGGTCGAGCTACTGCGATATTTAATTGCCATGCGAGTCGGCGGACCTCATGCGCTATAATGGACGTGCAAAAGGCCAGGGCTATACCGTACGCGTTTGTGTTTCACATGCCAGACTAGATCCTCGGAATTAGAGGCGTTTCGATATTCCGATCCATGCAGCTTGAAAAAGTAGACATCTGCGCATGGATCAGCCGGCAGGCTTGGATCGTCCGCACAGGATCTACAGCTGCCAGGCTGCTCACTCTTCAAACATTGCGAAAGAGTCATGGTGCGATTACAAAGTTCAAGTGCTGAGAGACAGCTTCGCGACAAGTAGAGTGCACCGGCTGCATTTCGTGTTGCAGGTTATCACTGCATATGTCGCTTGGCCACCGCGCTTACACCTGATAAATGTAGGCTATAAGACGCCTGGCCGCAGAGTCAGCAACATGCCTTTCTTCGCGGTGCCCTTTGCCATGCGGATCAGACGCGACCGTTGAGAAAAGGCCTAGCTTGCACTCGACAACCCGATGGCAAGGACCGTCCGCAATCTCCATCATGTCACACATATACTATCCGATGAAAGTCGACAATCTAGCTTGACAACGTCCCGTATTGTACTTCCATCCATCTCGAGGTCTACATGCCCACCAGGCAGTTCTGAATCAAAGCTCTAAGTTATCATTCAAAGTGCCCGTTTCAATGTGTGCTGAAACATACCCATCGCTCGCGGGGATCAATGTTCTCGAGCCGTAGAAAACGACTTTGCCTTCACACTGTTCGATCAAAAGTTTGAAATCCAGGGGTCCTCTGGAGGACACACACTTTGCAAGGCCAAACAACCCCCCCAAAAGCCTTCAAGATCACCTCATGTGCATGGTGCTTCCTAAAAGCCTCAAGGCGGCACTGATAGGAAAGAACCCACCGCGCGGCTTGTTATCGTACTCTGCCGTAGCCAAACCAACTCCAACTTGCAATTCTACAGAAACAAACCCACAAGTGACAAACTTTTATCTGACGAACGCAACATCTATCTAAAGCAGATCCGTTTCCAGCGGCATCTTGAACACCACAAACGAGTCGGTCAGCATTCGTTCCGTCGATTTGTCCTCTCTTCGGCTCAGCGGCGCGGCCGCTCCGCGCACATCCGCAGCCCCAAAACCCTGCCCAGCGCCATGATCGTCGCCATCGGACTGGTCCCCGGGCAGTCCCTCAGGACCGACGCATCCATGACGCGCAGCGCCCTCACGCCCTTCACGCGGTGCCACGTGTCCACCACCTCGCCCACCCGGCACGTGCCGTGCGTGTGCCAGCACGTGACCACCTTGTCTTTGAGCCACGTGGCGGCGTCTGCTTCGTCCGGGAGGAAAGGGAGCGCCCCGGGAAACTGCCCCGGGGGGATGGCGGCCAGGCCGGGGACGAGCCGCAGGAGCGCGTCGGGGACCGTGTCGCACTTCCAGGGGTTCAGGGTTTGGGAACCAAGGATCGATCTCAGAACGCTGATGGCAGCAATGCCGTCGGTGACGTCATCAGGGTGCTGGAAATGGGCGAGGTCGACCGCCGGCTGCGCGCGGGGGTCGGTTGATCGGAGGGTTACGCTGCCCCGGGACTTAACCCGGTAGGCCTGCAAGGAACGAAGGAGTTTCCGCCTTTCAGTCTGTAAGTTTTGAGACCCCTCTCAGGTGAAGGCGGTCCAAATGGATGCACATATTAGCGATCGTCCATGACTGCAATCTTGTAAGTGAAGGACCCTTGTCGCTTTCGAGAGGACAAGCAATGGTCTTGATGACCTCGCTTTCGAAGGAAGTTTAAACCTCGTTCAGAAGCAAAGCAGCACACAAAGGTGACAAGAAGGCATAAAGTCTGTGACAGACACGCAAAGACGTAGTCGCTGCCTCGTATAAACTCCAACACTCCGGTCACCATTAAGGCATGCCGGAAAAGCAACCTTTCCGTCTTTCGCAGTTGATATCCTCGGCTTTACCGCCCGGTTCCTTGCCACACACCTTCGCCTGGCAGAATCGCTTTGTCAAAGTCAGACCGGTTCCTCTTCTTCAGCATTTCCGCGCTCGCAAAATCAATATTGGGCGTACGCAATCCAAGTCGCTGCTTACACGACTAGCTACGGCCGCAAGGCTTCTCAGAATGATCATCTTTGCATCCAAAGCCCCCTACCTTGACTAAGACCAGCACCGCCCGAGTGAGCTGCTCCCGGTCATCCGGCGAGAGCGCCTCCACCGCGGCTGCCATCGCTGCCAGGGTTTCGGGGGTTCGCAACCGGGGCGGTAAGTCGGGCACGATCCCCCAGGCTATTCCCCCCGTCGCCGCTTTCTCCCCGACCATCGCCAGGTGGATGTGCTGCCCCGTTATGCCGGCGACTGAGGCCAGGCCCCGCTCCCTGGGGAAGTCGCCCAACTGGATTAGCAGCCCGACAAGCGGGTTATCCGCGAGGTTAAGCCCGACAGGGAGGTTGACCCGGGGGGTTATGCCGAGGCCCCGGAGCGCCGGTTCCGGTCCGATTCCGCTGAGCGCGAGCAGCTGGGGGGTACCCACCGCGCCCGCGCACAGGATGACCTCACCCCCCGCGGGAATGACGTGAGCGTGACGGGGCACGCCGTCCGCGCCCTCGAATTCGACCCCGATCGCCGTCAGGTCGCCTGCAAAACAGCAGTCGGAACTCTTTCAGTACTGCAAACGCATGCAAAAGGTTAGTAGAGAAGTCTGTGCAATCGATCCAACCGTAATCCTAAAGCCCACGTGATCGGCTGAAGCCATCTCATTGGTTCAGAGGACCACCGGTGAGCTCTCACACTTTCCGCTCAATGTCAATCCTCATGACGGAGCTTGAGCGACGGCTCAAAGGCACATATATCGCGGAACGTCGAGATCTTCGTAATGGCAGTGCTACCGTAACATTTGAACAAAAGAACTCCAGATCGAAGGATACAGCCTGGAAGTTGAATCCTGTCAGGACGGGGTCCCATACCTGGTTCTTGGCAGCCCACAACACACTTATCACAAACAAGACATCTGAAGCGTTTTTCCTGAACGGCAAAACGCTGCGAGTCGGCCCCATGCCATTCGGTGGTTCTGCACTTCGTCTGCGGCCTAAGTGAACGGCTTACCATCGTCATCGGAGAAGCAGACTCCGGACACCAGCGCTCGAGTGACGATGTCGACGTTCTTGACCCCCACCAGCAGCTCGTCCGCAGCGTGTCGGACGCCGTCCGAATTGAACGTCAGCATGACCGTCTTCACGCCGGGCTGCAAGCACGAACCGTGGATCCCGTTTCTTTTTGGAATGCTTCTCGATTCTCCATATGATATCGATTGCGCAAAGTGAGTGTACTCTCGGCGACGGTGTGAATGGAGCCTGTCTTGCTCACGCAATCCCTTATAAATGGCAGACGAGGGCCGAACAAATCATCACTTTCCGCCGCCAAAACGGCCTTCATAGCTGCTCCCTAGTGTAACTTGTAAACTTGCAAGGCCAATGCAGACATAGAGAGGTAGATTTGATTACAACTTCAGACCGGTCAATGAAAGCAAGGAAAGAAAAGAACGGGATGAAACTCACGACATGCTCCGGGGTCACTCCGTTGAATGACCCGACTCCTACTTCCTGCCACGCCTCCTGGATCAGCTCCTGCACCGGTCCCACAGTGCCCGGGAAAGACAACCGGGCGCCCAGATACGCATACGCGCTTTGCATAGCCTCAGCGTCCCAGCCCTCCGCTTTGATGTTGTCCGGGCTGGCGTGGCCCCAAAATCCAATGTTGACCGCGGTTCCGCCGCCCAAAACCTGGTTAAAGGAGAGTTCGGGCTACTTGAGAATGGGTGTGGGCTGTTTTACGATTGAGTCTAAGCGATTTCTGATCTGGGACACTTTAAGTGATTCTTGAGTTTCTTGGCAGAGCCCGGCTCTCGTACGGTCATCCCGGGCACACTGTTCGCGATACTTCAATGTCTTCTATCTCAGATTGATATGGTTACACTTGGGGATACAGAAACCGTTTCTCTTCAAAAGCAGTACTAAAATCCAGAAGTTCACAACAATAAGAGGGACGAACGATCTACTGACAATCACCTGGGCAAACCAGCTTCGGAGATCCAGAGAATCCGAAGGGCTCAAGAAGCTTGGGAGAAGAAGTTCGAGAACCAGCTCGAGAGGAAGCTCATCTCCGAAAGCTTCGTGAAGCTGATCTCGTTTAATTAACAACCTCGTTAACCGTTATTAAGGATCTTAGGACCCTTACATTGCCCCGGGCAGACCATACGCCGCTCTCAGTGCGCAGCAACTCGACAGCGCCGGTCTTGGCCAGGTCGACCCATTTGCTTTGCATCTGCACGAAAAGGATCACCACATTAGAACGGGTTTGGTTGTGCTCCTGAACTCAGACTCATACTAAATCCGTAAAAGCTTTGCTTCTGATTCAACAGCCCAGGATCGCTGACCAAAGCCTTACAAACGTTTGGGAAATTCAAAGCACCTGCTGACGATAGCCGTGTGCATGCTACAACGCACCTGAAAAAGTATGAAATGGGTTTTCAAAGTACAGTTACTCACCCGCGTTTCCGGATGTTCGTCCCGTGACGCCCCTCTTTCCAGCAGTAAGATTCTAAGGCTCTTGTCTTCGGCCAAGGCGGCCGCGAGGGGGATGCCCCCCGCACCTCCTCCGACTACGATGTAGTCATACTTTGTGTTTGAGACAGCTTCTAGCTTTTCGGTCGGGACTATGTTCAACCCCGTCGTATAGCCGCCTGAACAGGACACAGCTGATTGATGTACAAGATAAGAGCGATTTTGCGATATGTCAAGAAATTTTAAACGCTAACACAGCCGCAGAATCTTTCAGTTAATCCTAAGGACGACAATATCTGACGCCGGACTAGGTGACTTGTAAGTTTCCTCGCGTTCCGGCAGAAGATCTAAGTATCTTGTTTGAGTATGATAGACGAAGTGATACAGAAAGACAGATGCCAAATGCATAGGGTCTAGAAGCAAAGGGATTACTCTGTTGTGCCTCAAGAGGTTCGAGTCATCCTGATTACTTCATGATTAAGCGCAATTGCCAACTTCATGTCGGGGACAAACTCTTTGACATTGAAAGTTGTTGTCATGCAATTGCGCCTCTTGACTCTGAAACCCCTGAAGATCAATTCTCAATCCGATTGGCATGCCTTTAAAGCATGTCTTGACCGCACCAACGACAGGAAGAGCAGCTTACCTTCGACTGCCCCATTGCAATCTGCAACACAGAAAAGCAATGGATTATTTGGAGTCTGAATCCAATTCTTGACATGGCAGGGATTCGAAAACATGCCTAGTGAAGCCTAAGACCAGAAGCTAGGGCTCGTGCTTAACCCGTCCAAAAAGCCAATTCAAGGCCAATACGTCCAAGGCCATTTGGAGCCGATACGTTGATGTAGAGTGGCTTACCTGCACTGCAATTGGGTGCCCCATGCATTGGGCCATCGGCCTCACCACTAGAAGGCGTCCCCATGGCTTCATCCCCAGGTGCTATAAAATCAGGTTCGCGCTGCTTTCCAACACAGGAAACGCGATGACACCGACACCTACTATAACCTTTGTTAGCTCCTAATGGGCTCTTCTACCGGTCAATGCGTGGAGATTAACTTGCTGGTGAAACGGGACTACGTGCTATGTGAATTGCTGGCCACACAGATGGCGCGCTTCGGCGGAGCGCAAGCTTGTTGAGGCGAAAGAGTAATCTTAGCGCAAAAATGGGAGAAGGCAGTTCAGGTAAGTGTAGATCGTGGGCAAGTTTTTGTGATGGATGAGGCGACGAAGCTCAGAATATAAGTGCGGTGGAGAACCACTCGATCGTCCTTTGGAATGCTGCTCTTAGGGCGACGTCAATATGAAACTTCGAGGTAGTATGTACTAGACGGTTGGAAGCTGGAGAGAGCATTGGAGAAGACATTTCCGTGAGTGAACAGTTCCAGGAAAGAACGACCCATATGCGAAGCTTCGCTTCCAATCATGACCTTCCGCAATATGTCGACACAGAGAGTCCGGCAATTTGCATACCGTACGGTACCTTGACAGGTACACCGTACGGTAGATTCGCCACGAAAGTCAACGACAGGCAAAATGGATTTTGATATTCTATCATTTCCCGGCCGCACGATAAACCGTACGGTCTGACAATTCCATCGGACGGATGTAAACGGTCCTTAACTTATGGCGCGCGTGGTTCGCAGTTGGTCGCCAGGCGGCCCGCCGCTCGTACGCACCACTACGCTGCAGATCAAGAAGCTGGAAGCCGACAAGCCGTCATGCAGCTTAGTGATATCTAGTAGCGCGATGCGGCTGGCTGGTAAAGATTGTACGTCTCTTTTCGCTGGACGATAAGCTTGCATAAGGAGATGCTCAGTAAAAGCTCAACGTAGGATAAAGCGCCTATATATTGCATGCTTCTAGTACTGATGCTTGCAATCCTCTTGCAATGTCAAATCTTCAGTTGAGGGACAGGTCGAGAGCTACGTCGTCGCTGTATTGTTTTCTTTTGCAAGGGATCTCTCCAACTTTACTCAAGACCTTGCGGTCCGATCGCCGCCCGTATTCACGCGCCATACAAAAACGTTGCAGCCGGTGCCCCGGGGCGGAAGGATTGGATTGCTAAGTTGCCCGGGCTCGGCATGTGATGAAATGTGGGCACGCTCGAATCAGGAATTGAGGCGCCCTGCCGATGACCACTACGGTCCCCTCGACCTAGCTTGAATTAAGCGTATACACGCCCAAACGCAATTGGATTAGATCATGCCGAAGCGGTAAACTTAACTCAGCTAATGACCGAACAACTGCGGAGCTATATTCTGCGCATATCGTGCATTTTTTTGCTTATCGGAATGACGCCCATGATCCATGCAATCATGTGTGCATATATCATATGCGTTGGGCATGCGAGTCGACGTCTTGCATATGCCTTGATGCCCAGCCATCTCACGATGCAATTTCTATAGTCAAGCCTGTGGTGACCATTCCGCGATCGGAGTTTGATGAGCGCGAGTCAGTGACAAAGACGCCGAATTAAGCATTGCAATGTGACGGCTTGCTGCTTGGTGCAATTGCAAGGATTATAAACGCAATTTGTGTCGTGGTGCAAACTCCGGCTGACAATGATGACGAACTTCCCTTACGCAACTAACCTTGCAGACCGAACAGAACCGGCCTGAGTACGGTAAATTCAGCCGGCTCAGTCGTGCCCTTCAAGTGCGCAGATATGGGCAAGAATATTGTACAGACTCGGTGTATGGATCAACGATCGAGTATGTGCGAACACACAAAGTGTTTTCAAAGGTTCATGAATGGGTTAAACGGCTCCGTTCAATTTGAGCGTCTAGGAGTCCCCTCAGTTCCTCGTCACGCTCTGCGCCACGGCTAGGTCCGCCACAAACTGCCACGTGTCAATCGACAGCTTCTCCCGGCAGCCGACGAGGCACGGCAACAGGATGCGCCGCACGTGCGCATCCCCCTTGGTCAGAATGCTGACCAATCTCTGGATGACAGCTGGCAGGTCTGATTCAAAGTCCGGATCGGCCAGTACGGCCGGTAGAGTGTACGGGAGGTTTGCCAGCGTCTCGACGGGCGCGCTTGGAAGGAACGGCGACGTCGAAGGGAGCCACGCGTTGCAGAGGAGTGCCAGGAAAGTGAGGCCCTGGAGAAGAGGACGAAGCTGCGTCAGTAGGTTGAGGATGGTTACAAGAAAAGAAAGCTCTTTTCGAGTTCTTTTTGAGATTATACCGTTCTTAAGGCGATAGCACTTGTCAAAACAGTCTTTTCAGGAAAGATCTTGAGAAAGATTGTTAATCTCATAAACCAGTGCCATGCCTTCTTGGATACTGGAGGCCTCTTCACAATAGGAACAGACGCAGGCAAGAGCTCAACTCAATGCGTTATCTCCAGTAACACAAGCCAGCGTTTCTTCTTCGAAGTTACCCAGCCGAGCTGCCCTGGCGTGCGCTTAACGATATTGGATAACGCGGGTCAGGCACCGTTGCCTTGCCGTAAGAGCCAACTATATACCGGTCTATATCGACGTATATTCAGCAACTTCTTGTTATCTAAGAGTACGTCGCTGTCTCTTAGAATTAGCACCTCGACCTCCTTTTGCGAAGTGATAAGATGAGGCAAGCGGAGAAATTCAAAAGGAAAAAAGTCTTTTTGCAATGAAAGAGCAGGGTGATGTATCGCAAGGCTTAGTCCGACTGACCAGCATGTCATCCTCCTCTGAGGATGCGGAAGCGAGTAAGCAAACCAAAATTTCAGCCCATGCTAACAAGCAGCCTAAGTCTTTCAGCGCGACGCGTACCTGCAGGGGCCGCCACGTCAGCAGGGTCCAGTCCAGCGTCTCCGTGAACCACTCCCACTTCTGCGCACCCCCCGTTGCCGCCACTACAGCAACCAGCTCTTCCACCCCCCCCTCTAGATCGGCTACTCCGTACCCCCCCTCTCTCAGCGCGTTCAACGACCCCCCTGAACCGGGTATACTCGTTTCCCCCCTGTTTGAAGCCCCGGGGTTTTCTTGGCTGGCGAGAGAGCGTGCGTGGCTCCCCGAGAGAGAGGGTTGCGACGGTTTTTGTCCCCAGTCTAGTTGCTCCAAGAGCCACTTTCGACAAGGTTTCAGGTCTGCCAGCGGGAGGTGCGAACTGTTCGCTAGGAGTATCCGGGCGATCACGGCTCTGAATTGGGACACTAACTCCTCTGCGGGCACCTCTAAAGCTTCTCCGGAGATGTACTGCTGCTGACTGGAGCTGGGAAGCTTTAGGAGTTCCAGCAGCCAGGCCCTGTCAGTCTTTGCGAGGGACTCAATCGCAGCCCCCCAAGGGTTGCTTCCTCTCCGATTCTCGCCGGCTCCTCTAGAGTTCCCACCGGGCTTCTCCAACGTGCGGGCGCCTCTAAAGCTTCCCACGTCCACCGGAAGCGTTCGGTACACACTTCTGACCGCTTCTAGAACCGCTGCCCGCACCTCGTTTCCCTCCCCATCTTCGCTCACCGAAGCGCCATCCCCCTCCAAAGCCTCCCCCAAACCTCGCCAGAGCGCAGCCCGCAATCCGCTCCCTTCTTCGGCGAACCCGTACCCCAGCGCCAAGTCTTGCAGGTCGCCCAAAACCCGCAAACCCGCTGACCGCGGGAGGGCTCGCAAAAGCGCCGCGGGAGTTTCAGCAATCAGGATCTGTAGGTCCGTCTCCAACGTCACGAGCCTCGCTAGCTGACACGTGTTGTCCAGAAAGACGGCCAACGTGGGCACCTCCCGACCGTGCGCAATTGCCACCCGGAGGCACTCTCGTCGCACCGCCGCAGCCTGTGAATCTCTAGGCGTTTCTCTCTGATTGTCCGCCCTTCGAAGACCTCTAGTGGTTCCGTCTGGGTTTTCCGCCGCCCGAGATTCTCTAGGCGTTCCGCCCTGGTGCTCTGCCCGGAAGAGCCGCCTAAACAGGACGCCCCAGTTGAGCGCCGGCAGCCGGGGCGCCTTCGCCAAGCACCGCAAAACGGCCGCTGCCGTAGCTGACGTCACACCGTCCGACCCCGTCGATAAGCTATGCCTTTCGGACGATATCCTATGCTCCGCCGTTTGGGTTGGTTCGGACGCCGACTGCCCCACTGCGCCGCCGTCCGAACCGGGCCCCTCCGCAAACGTCAGCAGGTACGTCAGCAGCGGCCGCATGGCGCCCTCTTCGGGAAGTCCCGGCAAGGCTCGGCGCAGGGGGGCGTTTTCCGCTCCAGGAGCAGCCCCCCGACTCGAAACCCCTCCGCCGAAACGAGAGTCGTACAAAGCGGCCAGGGCCCAAGCAGCCTGCCTCTGAACTTTTGGGTCCTGCATCCGCGAAGAAACCTTCAGATTCCGGCTTTCATCTTGTGAGAACCCGTGGAAGGAGAACGTGGACTCGAATCGAGCTACTCGGACCCCTTTCGATTTAGGACCCCCTACGCGCGCGGGTAGTAACGCCTTTGACTCCGCTGATCGAAATTCGGCCGGACTCCGGGCTCGTAATAGTCGTATCGTGGTCTTCAACCTACGGGGTACGCTAGCATGTAGCGGAAGCTACGGAACTGCGGCCGGACTCAATGACGTCAAGTTTCGCGCGCGCAGGGGGTCCAAGACTGAAGGGGGGTCCGGAAGTTCGATTCGAATCCCCGTTCTCCTTCCACGGGTTCTGTGAAGACGCGTAAATACTTAGTGCGATTATCATCTTTGCACCTAACGGACCAATCACAAATGAAAGCTTCGACGACAAAATAAGTAGCTGCAGTCGCGAGGCACATTGCAGAGCGACAAAATGATAGAGAGGTAAGCTCAGCAGACGACGGAAACAGGGAAAAACAGAACCAGATACGTCGAACAAGCATGATACAGAGGCAGAATGGCTGCGAGGAGAACCGTTTCAACAACAGACTTGAGACTTACGTCAAACGCACGCATACCGTCATTTGCAGAGTGGTCGAATTTACCATACACCGCAGTCGTAGCAACGCCTTACCGGATCTTCTTTAACGGCCTTGATCATTTTCTGAACCACCGCTCGCGCCTGCGCCACTCTCCTCTCATCGTCCAAGACCCTGCCCGACCCCGCGGCCGCTGTTCGCGTCCCTAAACCTCCGAACCCTGCTCCGAGCGCGTTTGCCAGGCCGAGCAGCGAGCCGACTCTATAGGCGCCTCCTGAGCCAGATCCGCCTGACGAGAGGTCTAAAGAATCCAGCATCTTGTCAACCGTTGCTGTGGAGAGGGGGCAGCCGTCTGAAAGGAGAGAGTCGAGGAGCGACCCCCCTGATAGGGCGGCCGCCGGAAATATCGCTCCGGTATATTCCGATGGCTGCTGAAGAATGACGGATAAGCGTTCCAGTCGTTGCTCAGCTTTTGACGAAGAGACGAGTTCCAGTCTGTGGGCCAGAGGGGTCAGCACGGGGAGTGCTAGGAGGGCGGCAATTAGAACGGGATCCGCACTTCCCCCGCTTTGAGTCCGATCCGCGCCGGTCAGATTGTCAACTAGGTTAAGCAAACCCGAAATTGAACCCGGGTTTGAGAGGACTCCCGGCAACCGACCCCGGGAGCACATCTGACTCAGGCCGGCGATCGCCCCAGTCGCAGCCCACTCGTCCACTTGCTGACGTGGCACCACCTCGACCTGCCACGTGGCAGCCAGCCGTCGCACAATCTCCCGCGCCGTCTCGTTCCCAACGCCACTCCAGAGGGCCGTTGAAAATGACCTCAAGATCCGCTTCACGAGCACCGATTCCCCGCCGGTTTGAGAGGTGACGTCAGCCGCCAAGGTCGGCTCGTCCGCGCCCCTGTGTGAGAGGCTCTGTGCGACTAACCCGAGGGCTAATCCAGCCGCAAACAGGGCGCCGCTGCTGACGTCATCGCTCAAATAAACCCCCAGCAAAGCCTCCACCGCTAAGCCCTTCTGCTCTCTTGCGGTGATCGGAAGACTCCCCGTGGCTGCTCCAAGCGCGACCGCCGTCGCCCGTTCCGCCCAATCGTGGCCAGCCACCTGTCCCAGCCGTTTCGCCAGGAACGACGTAACGCTCACGGCCAGATTCCCTGAAGCGTTACCGTGCAGAGCGCTACACAAGCCGGCAGCCGCCAGGGTCGCGTTCTCGGCTGCCCGGGGGATCCCCTCGGTTATCAAGGCTTGAATGGTTGACCAGATTTCCTTCGCAGCTAACCCGACGCCCTCGGCTTTGCTGACGTCATTCTCGACGGAGAGTGCCAACGCAAGGGCTTGGAGCCAGGTTGGTATGAACCGGGACCACGTGCTGAGTGAGGTCAGGAGCTGGGTCTGGTCGGTTGGGGACGAACCGGGCAAGCTCTGGCTCGCCTCCTGGAAGACCTGGGCGAAACCGGCCGCCCAGTTTCGCACTGCCTGCTCGGAAGAACAACAGAATACAGGAAGTGAATGGAGGTAGTCCCTTGTGCACAAGAAGCGTTATTCTGGAGGTGTTTGTCCGTTGGACACCTTTTGCTGGTCTAGAGTGATGGAAAATATAGGAGACAACAACAACAAGCAAACCGTGCAGCATATAAGAGAAAAGAGCGCAGACGACACATATAAGGACCGGCAATCGCCATGGGGCGTCAGGTGATCTGAACGTTTCCTTTTCCGGACAATACCTCCACACTCAAAAAGAAGGAAAGGATAGCGGCGGGCCAAGCGGCAAAAGCAACCAAGCTTCAACATCCACCATGAGTTGGCTCTTGCCTTTTCCTTCGTTGTCCTAGTTTTTTCTAGTTCCCACACGCAAGAGGATAGAAGTCTAGAATTCTCCAAAGCGGAAGACGTGCCCTTCTTTTCGGATCGCGAACGAACATTCTCAAAGATGAAATGCCGAGAACTTGCATAACGAAGTGCTGAACCCAATTGCCAATTGAACGGTACGTTCGCTGCATTAGGAATGCCGCTCGGATCTCAAAACCGGCGTGCATGACCGTCGGAACACTCCAAGCCGTTTAGACCACTGGACGGTTTAAAGTCCAAGGGACAGATGAACACCGCAAAGTATCTCACCTCCTTGTACTCTGTCAGTGCCACCCGGTTGGCTTTCCCCTCTTCCGGGGGGGTCGGTGGCAGGGGCCGGTAGCAGTACAGAACAGCCCCCGGAAACGAACTGGCCGCCGGAAGGTCCACTGCCGCTGCCCGCTTGACCCTCTCCCGGGGTCCTGATGCAACTAGATTGGGCACGGCTTGCAGGAGCTCGAGGGCAGGAGACGCGGTCGGGGGAAGGGCCCTTGCTTCGGGGACGTTTCGCCGCCGCGTGCTGTAACAACGAGAAACATGGAATGTAGTGACTAGTGCAGCTAGCATGAAGATGAATTGCAACCCTCTCATCCAATGTCCGGTTGAGTTACATTAGACTTGCAGGAGCTTGAGGGCGGGGGATACGGTCGAGGAGAGGGCCCTTGCCTCGGGGAACGTTTTTCCGCTGCGTTCAGTGGTAATGACGAGGAAGGTGAAGGGACATTGCAATTCTTTCAGCCAACTATTATTTCATCTGTCTTCATGAGATTGCTTGCTCAGTTCCATGTGAGACGTGAAAGTCGTTCGATCAGACATGGGGAGTCCACTCAAGCAGTGCTAAACTTTTTACGTACTTTGAGATTCAATCTAAGCATGTCCCGACAGAACCATACGGATGCAACGCCTGTGTTTGAGAAGTGCGGCTTTTTCTAGGGCTTGCATATTCTACAGCGCTAACGAGCTCTTCCTTCCAGGCAAAGTAAAGTAGGAACCCTTTTCTTTCTGCCATCAGGACAGTAATTAGCATACGTGCAGCATAACCAATTTGCTTAACACACTACATAAGCGCACTTGAACTACGATCCGGTCAATAGTTAAAAATGACGACAGCAGCATGAAGCTCAGATGACCGGGAAAACAATAAAAAAGGTTGGCGCACCTGTGCTCAAATTGCAACGCTTTCACGACCAGGCCCTCGCACGCGGCCCTGACGTCACTGTGCGTTTCCGTCAGCAGCAGGCTGACGTAGTCGGACAGGGGACGAGGTGACACCTGCAAGCACAAAAAGAGGCGTGTCCGGCAGGGGCAATCTCCGGACTTGAATAGGAGATCGAACATCCATCTGAGCTTTTTTCAAGGCTCTCTGACGGGAACGGCTAGAAAGTTAGAACAAAGATTTTGCCATCCAGCACTCTCGGGATTGCGGCCGTTCGCCGGGCGAGAGACTTTCTGCAGCAATGTTCTTGAAACGTGTCTGGATTCAATCACCCAAACATCCGCCAATGAAAGCAGATAGTTATCAACAATGGGTCTGAAGAATCATTCCCACGACTCAGCACACTATTGATGGCTGAGGCGCCGAGGTTTTTGAAACAGGAGCAGTTGATACTGTTGATGGTTTAAAAAGGGAAAAAAGACACTCGATTGCAGTATGACAATCAGCAACGCGACATTCTAAACGCCAACCGGCGCAGAGCAAGTATTCTACGCCCTCGACTTGGCCTCAAGAGACCGACCATTGGAGCGGGAAGCGAAGAAGAAAGCGAGTGCTGAACAGAGAAGCAAAAACCATACCCGTATTACCATGAGCCGCATAGAAATAATGATTTCATCCCTAGTCATCTCCGGAAAATATTTGCTCCTGACGCGAAAAGTTGAGATGACTAATCAAGGAAGTTTCAGACCAAAATACAGCCTATTAGCAAGGCAAGTTGGGCAAAAACGAAAACAAGAATGTCTCTTCTTGGTGCGAAAATGCAAAAGTCTGAAAATAGAGTCGCGGACTTGGGGTGCCAATCCGCAGTACGGGTAAGTAAATCGAGTTCGCCGGACAGAGGCTTACTTCTTGGACGGCTTCGAAGGCGTACGCGGACAGTGAGGCGACCGCGGCGCTCCGCACTCGCCACCACCGGTCGCCCTTTTCCGACGGTCCTCCCGCCTGCAATGAAAAATGCACTTCGATAAGCACGAGGCGGGCGGAACGCAGAAGTGCGAAATGGCTGGGGGCCGACCAATAATCGCAGAGCTGCCGTCCAGATTTTGAAGTCGAAAAATGGAACGGTCCAGATCTTCTGTTTGTGCTTGATTAAACACGGTTTGTCTGAACCCTGGTATCGGAACCTGTCCTGTCAAAGTTTGCGAGACACTGGCTGACCTTTGCAGACTGGAGTCCCTTTATTCACATTGGACGGTAGCGCTGCGATTCCGGCTATCGCGAGATTTTGCGGTCCGCTGAAGGGTCCGTATGGACCGAACAGTGGTCACACCCTGAACTCTGATCGCGCCACTTTGATCGCACTGCTTTTACCTCATTGATATCCTGGGAAATTCCCTCAACGCTGCTGTCACCTCAGGTCAATCCTGTCACGCTGGCGTAACCGACTCCCCAGCCTTTTCGGTTGGCGCATGCGCTATCCTTTTGAGTTTGTGCGCTTCGCAGTGCTTGGCTGAAGGTGTAAAAGAATGAGGGCCTGACCGTGGCAACAAACTCCCAAGGGAAAGAGAAACCACTGCACTCCCTATCGCTTTGGAAGGTCCACAACACTCGAAACCTCCTCAGAAGAAATCTTTCGGCAAGATCCGGTAAGAGAGAACTGCCCTTCTCACACCGAAAGCCTCTCTTTTCTTAGACACCCGCCTTGACCGCTTAGTGACACTTATCTTAAGTCCACCGGTTGTAGCATAGAGGTCCCTCGAGATCCAAATTGCCAAGTATCGTATCTTGGGTTAATAATGAAGACGGCAAACGCGCTCCTCTCCAAAGCACTTTCCTTTTTCAAGACTCCGTGCTCTTTCGTCAGAGACTTGTCACGTCAGGGGCGGGGACATCAGCCAAGTTTTACGAGCCTTCGCGGCTTCCGACAGCAAGTTAAGCACCTCTTCTGCCCGTTAATGATGTCGCTCCCACCACTGCTCAGGCTTGAAAGGAAGGGTTACACAAGAGTCGAAGAAATCGAGCAACAGTAAAGGAGAAGGAAAAAGAACGCGACATGAAGAGAGAACAAGGAGCAGGTGCAAGCAAGAACAAAGCAGATAAGAAAAGACAAAAAGAAAGCCAGGAAAAAGGAGATAGAAAGAGAAATAGGAAGAGAAAGGAGGAGACGTGTAAGGAAACAGAAGATACTGACGCACCTTCGCAGCTTCCAAGAGCAACGACAGCACCTCCGCCGCCAAGTCTGGTTCCGCGCGCGCGTCGAGCGCCCCGTGCGCGAGCAGGGAAGCCCATCTGGCGGCCACGCGGGGGTCGTCCGGGAGGGTTGGGAACGTCCGCCGGACCACGCGCCAGGCCGTGTAGAAGTCTGCGGGCGACACGTCGCAATCGTTGATTGGACCAGAAAGCAGAGGGCCTACGGAATTTCTCCTTGCTCGCGAAGGAGGCGAATCCAATCAATCTCGAGTAAGATCGAGAACCAAGAAGTGGTGCTTATCCTCGATCAGGTGTTAAGACTTTAATTCGATGGAAGCTCAAGAGTCCAAACCAAAGATCTGTGACGAGTCAAGAAGGAGTCGCCAGACGTCTTCTTTCCATGCGCCGCAAGAATTGTAGCAGACCGGCGAGCAAGAGCGGCGAGGGAGAGTAAAGAAAGACGGAAAAGGTGAACAAAAACCACCCATTGGAGCTTCAAGAGCGTTATAAAACACTCCACGCTCTCAGGCTTCAAGCATCACCCAAAACCGCGCAGCGCCTGCTTATGACGTCAAGAACTCGTCATTCGCGTTTTGCAAAACAGAGCAGGAAGTTTTACTCCCGAGGTTACGTCATATCGTTCATTCAATTGTAATGAAAGATGACAAGCAGGCTCACCGATGGCGTCATCCTCGCACAAGACCTCCAGGCTCTCTAAACCGAGGGCGCTAACCACCGGGTTAGGGTCCTGGATTGCCGCCTGGATCCCAAGCACTAGTTCCACCCCCCTCGCCGCATCCTTGCCACAGACCCCCCGAATCGAAGCCGCTCGCGCCATGTTCCATTCCAAATCCGCTGAGTCTCTCCCTTTTCTCAACTGCCCACTTGGGCGATTCGCCACGTAGATCCCTTCTCTTTCTGACCCTGGTTTGGGGAGGGTTTGCGAGGGTTTGGGCAGCGAAACGCCGGCCATCAGAACAGCCTGGAGGCGCGGGAACGAACGGTCCAGATTCGCCCACAGTTGGCTCAGCAGGCGCAATCCGACGGCTCTCAGGGGAAGCTCGGCGGTGGGCTCGAGCATCGGTTGGAGGGACTTTAGAACCGGGCCCACGGTGGCCAGGTGGGCGCCTAAAGAGGGGAGGATGGAGAGCAGGGACAGCTGGACGGAGTGGGAAGCTCTAGGCTTGCCTTGCACAGCGGGGGAGGCGGCTTGCTGGGCCTGTATGAGAAACCAGCCGGATTTCACAATTGCCATATTGGGCAGTGCATGAGTGAAGGCCAGGTGAGTAGAAAATTAATGTTTAGTCGACGACGGTCAAGGAGATTCTCCTGCGCGATGGTTGGAACGGAGCATGACAAGGCTAAAAGAAGAAGACGATATGGGTTGTGCAATTCATAGGGCAATCTTATGCCAATTTCGGCAGGAGTAGCAGTAAAGATTGCCGTTGGTCACAATGCGGCTTATCCGTCAGAAGGAGCTTTGTTCGTCTGAGCGACATGCCGTCCACGATTGTCAGTCTAAACTTTGCCTAAACTCTGGTGAACGTGAATATATTTGGGCCGAACATGTCCTTTCAACATGGACATCAAGAGAAAGGCGTCCACAAACATATCTCGAGAGATTCGAGAGCCGGACCTCTCAAGAGCTGGAAACAAGTTATGTTAAGACCAAACACGAAAGAAACCGATCGACTGAGGACAGCAGACGTCATGTGCCAAGGGCTCCTACTCTTGGCGCATTGTGTCTCCGGCAACCCTCCATATACAGGATCCAAGTCTTTACTGACTTGTCAAACCGAATCAGGTCAAAGGAGAGACGATGTAAATTGAGGTTTCTTACCACGGTCTCTTCTCTACGCAGCCACCACAGGACAGCTGGCAGTAATGGCACCGCCTGCACCGGGTCCACCCTGGCAGCGGCCCCCAACACCTTTGCACTTTCCGCCCGCACATAAGCCTCCGGATGCATCATAAGCGCTCCCCCCACGTAAAACGCTATCCGCACAAGGTCGCCCAACGGCGTCCTCTCGCCTTCCTGCAGCGATTTCGAGCCCTGCTTTTGCGGCGGGAGGGTTTCCAGGTGGGCGCCCAGAGCGGCCAGCCAGGAGACGGTGCCGTCTAAAGAATCTGGGGTTGGACTGGCGGCGGCTGCCGAGGATGGGAAGCTTTTAAGTTCCCCCGAGAATCCTGGGACGTGGGCTCCGGTCCAAAGGCTAGCGACGAGGGTCTTGAGGCACGAGACGAGCTTGGCTTCGCCGCTGATCAACCAGAGTTCTGTCAAGGGATCCCCCTTGACTGGACTCTCGCCCGTGGTGCCTCCTGCTGCCACTTGGCGCTCTGCCTTTGGGCTTGCCATGATCTCCTCAACTTTGTCCAGGGCTGTGACGGCGTGGTTTCTGATGAGGCCGGAGGGAAGAGCAAGCAATTGGAGGATGGGCAGAACTGAAGTTGCTACAAGCGGTTCTGTTTCGGTGGCTTTTCCATCTGGAGGGCTACTGGGTTTGTGACCGGCACTTGATTCAAGAGCTCTACTTAGAAGGCGCAGGATTGAGAGCTGCTCCTGCTCAATTTGGGCTCTGGAGAGGAGCCAGCCCCACACTGGGAGGAGCTGGATTGACACCACTGGGGGCAAGAGAACCACTAAGCGAGCGATGGTGTTAAGGAAGGGCAGAGAGGAGAGGTCGGCGCCCTGCGCTTCGAACGCGGCGTTGAGAAGCGCCCCAAGCAAGCGGAATGCGTTTGCCTTGATGCCATGGAGAAATCGTTGATTTGAGAAAGGATTCGCTCCAGCTTGTTGTCCGGCTTTCTCCTTGAGATGTTGGATCAGGTCAGCCAGATCTTCAGCAAAGGCGGCTGAGATTGCCACAGATTCCTGCAGACCTGTTCGGTTATCCCCGGAGCCCATTTGCACCCCATAAGTGCCTATTCTCATCAGCCCCGCATGCCATATCAGCAGTTCCAGTATCGGCCCCGCCAATCCTGGGCCGCTCGAGGCTGCAATCCCAACCAAAGCGCTCGTGAGGCGCCGACGGAAGAACTCCCCCCCAGCCCCATGCAGCAGAACGGAAGTGATGAACGAACGCAGATGCAGAAGCGCCTCGATCTCGTGCCCGGAGGTTCCTGCTTGTGTTAAGAGGATCGCCACTTGCCGCAGCACCGGCTCTTGACACTCGTCCCTGAGGAGGGTCGCCCGGTAAAAGGGGTGCTGTTCCCCGGAGGCTTGCGCGCTTGGGCTTGCAAATGACTCTGAGGCATTTGCTCTCGCTACCACCACTCCATCGGAGCTTTTAGGCTGTCTGTCAAAGAAGGATATGCCAGTGGCAAAATTGAGCTGATCTTCCTCGTTTTGTGCTGCTGTTTCCTCCAACGTCGGGGGTCTAGCATTTCCCCAACTTTCTGCCAACGACAGGCGCAGAATTGCCCCAATGGCGCCCACGATTGGCCCCACCCCACCAGCCGGAACCTCCCTCAAACCCGCAAGAAGCAAATCCACCCCCTTTGCACTGCCCACCAGATCCGGGCGCTCGCTAACCAGGCGCACTAACTGCTGGGCTGTCTCGTCCACCACAGCTGGGCTCCGGTGGGTTAGGCAGACGGTTAGTGTCTCCTCACCCAATGCTGAGCTGGGCTGTTCGTGGGAGGGCGCTCTTTTGAAATGTGCGAAAATGCTGCGGACGGCGGCGCGCTGCAGGGCCGGCTGCGGGAGGGAGAGGCGGTCGAGGAAAGGGGAGAAAAAGGAGGGCGCCATAAGAGACACACAAACGCTGAGGCTACATGTCTCGAGTAGGTGGTGCGCTCCGGGCCCACTTAGGACTGACCTTCTGGATTTCAGGATCAGATTCAATGTGGACGTCCTTCGGAAAGTTTCATGTGCATGCAGGTACCGAAGCAGGATCATAACTTCGCCGGCCCGGGGGGTAGTACGTCCAACCTCCCCGCTCGACGGGGAGTCGGACGGGGGCGGACGGGGTCAACGTCGATCCTATATGGGGACCTTACTACCCCCAGTATAAAAACAATTACTGCGCAGACCCCCCTGAATCGAAACTCAAAATTGGCCTACCGAATTAGGTACGTACTTGTACAGAGTACACCGTACGTACTCGTGGGATACCGCCAACTCATGAGGCGGAGAGCGATATAGGAAGTAGGTACCGTAGTCCAACGTGATCATTCCGAACGGATTTTCCAAGTAATATTTTCCAACAATCCGACCAGGAATGCGGAATTACTTATGCGGATTCCGACCAGAATCCGAATGCCCTATGTTCACACTTGAAGACGCATTTTAGGGCTGATTTGAGCAATTTTTGGCCTTTCGAAGCCTATTTCAGAATTATTTAATCTTTGCTAATTTCCACTTTCCGAACGGGAAACCTGAATTTCTGACTTTCCGAATGCAAATAATTATTTATTTATTCGGAATCATTACCTTGGACTACGGTAGTAGGTACCTCTGCCTAGGTACCTACCGGTACCAGTACTTGTACAGCTAGGCTCTAGCTTTTTTCAATTCCTAGGTAGGTACCAAGCTAAGTACGGTACGGTACCTTTACGTACTGTCAGTCGCGCTCTGTGCGCGCACGTATAAGCTTGCGGCGGTCGCGGCAGTTGTGCGCGGCGCGGCCTTATGAATCAGTGTGCCAGTCACGGTGACGTCGGCAGCAGCAGAAGTATACACAAAGACAGGCTCAAAGGAAGCTAGAGGGATGATCCGAGGAATCGCCGAGAAAAGAGAATCTGGAATTACATTCATCCTGACGCGATCAGCTAGGATCCAACAGACGTACTAGAAGCACGGCGCAGAAATTTACGTGGCATAGCTCACTGAGTATGATTCATTCTCAAGCAGTTGCACTATGCATCATGTGTGCATGTTGCCATGGCTGAGGCAATACTGGCATTCAAAATTCTGGCAAGCAACAATCCGATCGAACTTGCAAACGGCCGTTTAAGGTACCAAACCGTTGCACAATTGAAGAATTGGCACAGAATGACCTGGTAGGTTGACTATGTTATCGCTTCAATCGCTGGCGAGTTTAAGAGTTGATTGTGTACCGCACTAAAAGCTGAATTCAATATTTGGTTGTATGCCGCATACATAGACCATGGGCATCTGCATTGAATCATAACGCAACTGCGACAGGTTGTCAAACGGCCTCGTGTTGTGAGAGGTTGATTGCAACTTTTAAACGAGCATGCGGATCAAGCACTGAGCATCAATGATAGAAGCACAAAAGTGGTACTACATTACATGGTACTACGTTTATTGTTGGCGAGACGACTCTGTATGTTCTACGTGACTAGGGTGCTGGTGCAGCAGCCGCTGCTTGTCCGGCTTTCTTCAATGCCCTCAGATCCTTCAAGAGGGACTTCAAGCTTTTATACCTCCCGGACAGGTAGTCCACCGCAGTCACTCCATTCTCAAAACCGTGCTCCCTTTGAATGTGCTCCACATATTTACAGATTTGTACCTTCTCGTTAAACCTTTGCCGGTGACCTTTTCCCCGTCGCCACGCAGAGCCATGCGCACGTTCCAACTCTACGAGAGCCGGCATGTGCGCGGCAAAACCGGAGTGCATTTCCCGATACACATCAACTACAGTGCTGCATGCCGGCCACGGATAGACGTACGGCTGACCAGGGACCGGTTCACCTTCTTCATAGACCTCCTCGCTTCCGCCGTCGCTTTCGGCTGGGCCTCCTCCCCGAGCACGTAGCCCCACTTCTTCGGCACCTTGAGCCCCATTTGCGGTTTCTGTACCCCGCCCCGGATGAGCACGCATTCCCGCCGCTCCGCCCGGTGCTTCGTCCCCATGCGCTCGACTAGCCGGTTCTCTCCACGCCCCCCGGGTCCCTTCTCTCCGCTCCCCAAGTCCGGTTCCTTCCCTGACGTCCCCTCCCCGGGTCTCTCTGCCGCTCGAAAACCCCCCGGTTGCTCGTCCCCCGGCCGGCTCATCACCCGCGTCAAACCTCCGAACCTGTCCCCGGTTGATACCAACCCGCGCTCGCAAACTGCGCCTGGTTGCGCCGGTGCTCAAACCGAGCTCCGCTCAGCTCAGGTCTGAAGTCCGGGGGTGCCCACCGGTTGTCGACGGGGCGACGCGGGACTGTCGGGGAACACGGCGGGTCTGCCCGGGGAGATGTGAAGCAGCCCGGGGACCCACGTCCTGTTTCGGGCTGCCGCTCGTCTGCCGCGCTGCCTCTCGCCCTTTGGACTGGCCGCGGTGGCGGAGGTGGTCCGTGCGGCGAAGGGGGCGAGCCGTCAGAAACGCCGGCGCCTTCCCGACGAGCAGCAAAGTCCCGGAACACCCGGAAGAGCTCCCCGAGCTGGTCGGAGTGTTTCCGGAGCTCCGTCATAAGCAGAGACTGCAAGAATGGAGCCAGGACTAAGTTAAGAACGAGTGGTCAGCGCTCAAGCAGAATGTAAAAATGGAAAACGAGCGGCAGGGAAAAATGAATGGTCCATTGACAACCCTGCAAACAGCCGGAAAAACGTTCCAAACGGGTGTCTCGTTGTCTAGTGCATCGAATTCTGAAGCGATTCAAGCTGCATGGCGGTTTTCGAGTAGATGTTGTGACAGGCTCAAACGCAAAGCACTGAAAAATGTTGCTTAGAACTCACAAGAACGTTGGAAAAGCTCGGACTTTGTGAAGGCTCTCAGAATCCTTTTTCCTTGAAGTTGCAAATGAAGTCGGTTGCCTACCTGATTATCCTGCCGTGGGGGAAGGCAACGATCAGGACTCGCATCAGCTTCTTGGACCGCTCGCTTGTACTCCACCCAGGCACGGTTCTCAAACAAGCTCATGTCTTCGAACAAGCACAGGTTCGGGTACACCGGCTCCATTGCGGCAAGACTTGAGAGGAAGACTTCTTTTCCGCACGCCAAGAACTGGAAGAAGTTCTCCGACGTCACCCGTTTATCTCCGTCCAGGGTCGCACTTGCATTCCGCTGCAAATAAACCACGGACGTATCACGCACCAGGTTGATGTGGAGAAAGAAAGTGGGCGCAGGTAGAAGCTCAGAATCAGAACGACTCAGAAAGATGAACGTTGAAGTACTCGCCTGATTTCAGCATCGTCGCAAGCACACTCAAACGCTTCGGCGAGCAAGCCGTTGGGTCGGCCTCCCTTTCAAGAGTTGAGAAAACGTTGAGAAGATTTAGAGCCACCAGATCGGTCGGCCTTCTCTGCGAATACATCAAAGGAGGGCAACTGTCAAGCGTCGGATGGTCGCTCACCTGCTTGATCTCTCGATACTCCTTCTCGACCCATGGACAGAACTTCTTCAACAGCTCCTGAGGAATTGTCGGAATCAGCCTGCACCAATGAATTGAGCGTTAGGGAACACACCGTGGAAGCGGATTGTCAACCTTGAAAGGTGAGACACATACGCCTGACTCAACGGACCCCATGCACACCCCATGCACAGGAGACAACTAGCCGGAACGAGAACGCGGCCGGAACCGGAACGAGACCGGAAGGAAACGGACGGAACGAAAACGGCCAGGGCAGCGTCCAACATTAAAAGTGTCTTTGCTTTCTTCTACGGAATTGTGTGCACAGCAAGCGTACCTAGCGAGCCGGTACCCATCGGTGAAGTTGCGCTCAACCGCCTCTTTACGAAACCCGGCCATCCCGAACTGGAGGGTCATCGGGGAGTCCTGGGCATACGACCGCGAAAAGTGGTCGCTGCGATTTGTTGTAAATCGAGCGTACTTCTTGACGTCGGGCCGCGTGACGCCCTGCAAACATGTTTGACCACATGTTTCAGGCATGTTTCACAGTTTCCAGCTCGAGCGCATAGCCTTGAATCCACAAACGATAGCAACTTGGACAAGCGGGGCCGCAACCAGCCACGGTCGATTGGGGGACACAAAGTCGTTTCATACATGCAGAAACCAGTACAAGTGTTGTGAGCTTGAAGTCTTTCAGTCTCTTCCAAAGACTGTCTAAGAAACAACTGAAGTCCCGCAGCTGATGAGGTTGCTGGTCGTAACTTACCAGATCGCGGCTTTGCGAGCACCATGGCGACGGCCGACGTGCGTCGCTTTCCGCGAGTCGATGCTCGATGCCCAGCACTTTCATGAAGTGTTGGATGTATTTCCGCTGCGTCGAGTAGCTGTACCCTGCCTCCTCCCCTTTCCGCCCCGGCGACTTCTTCCAGGTGTACCTGCACGCACGACGCAGGAGATGTAGGGTCCGAGAAGGATGACATGAGCACTGACTTTCATATCCAAGCTAGAGCTACAAGTGGGAAGAATCGTGACAGCAAGACTGAATGATCTGGTGCCAAGCCTGAGGACCGCAAGTACTACATTCACAGTAAATTAGCATGAGAGCCTGTCGACGGTGGCACATGGACTGCAGGAGCGAGGCAAGGGCAAGAGATCCTAAAACCTTAGGACTTATCTCACCAATCTGTTTGGGGTCACGCCTTGGGTCTCTTCTTCTTGGCAACCGCCCAGTTGTAGATAAGAGCATGCATGCGGGCAGCCCATGCACACATGGCAGCGTCCTTGTTCTGAAGAACAGACGTCACTTCCATATTGCCGTTCTGTAGGTGGGTAAGTCATAATCAGTACTTACATCACTAAGTCGAAACGTGAGACGAAGGGGACACACGAGCGCGCAGAGTTGTCTATTCTGGAAATTTCCAATCGCATTTACTGGCTGCCTGGATGACTTTGTGGCTTATGCCACGGGCAGAGTCGAAACCCACTCACTTCGTTGGTCTTCCCGATGTCGTTGATGATGTCAAGGGTATACCCGGGGGTGGGGCCAATCTCCTCTTCTAGGTGTATGCTGAGGTCAGAAAGCTCGCCCTCACGGGTGGTCTTGCAACCTCGTCATTGTGGTGAACCACTCAAGCACGTCCGCCCTGCACGAAGGTACTGTAAGTCTAGCTGACGTGTCTGAGCACTGACGTTATCAGCTTTTCGGCAGGTCTGTGCTTCCGATTCTAGGCCTTTCACATCAAAAGATTCAGAACAGCACTGTAAAGAAGAAGGGGACATCTGCTCTTGGCCCGATGCCCACCGACGCAGCGACGCAGCGAATCATATCTTTAACAGCGGCCAATTCAGTTGAGTGACTATGCGAGCAGTACTGGTTGTGTGGCTCTACAGATAACAGTCCAAGCTGATATCAAAAGCTGACTGCTGACGTCAGCTTCAAGATGCTGCCAGACTATTTGATACCATACTACCTTTGTGAGCTTGGACGGGGCAGAGCTGTACAATTTAATCCAAGACGCTTGAAACCTTGATGAGAAATTGTGTTTCCAAGCGGGAAAGCAATTCAGGTTACGCAAGCCGGAAGTTCTTGATGACGTCACCAGCACACAAGAGCGGGTCGCAGACAATCAACATAACTCTTTTAGCCTGTAAAGAATGCAAATGAAGGAGCCAGCCTACCTCATGTTAATCAACGTGCCACGTGTCATCTTGTGCTCCGCAAGCTTCTCTTTCGTCAGGCAAAGGTACTTTGTCATCAGATCGACGACGCGGGTGATATCTTGACGCGAGATGCGGTCCGGCTTGTCACGTTGTTTGTCATACCCATGCCTGCGAAAGGACAGTGTTGTTAGCGGTATACTTGAAAACACCTCTTTGAAAGCATGGGGGATCTTAGGAAGAAGCATCGAGCAGACCTGTTTATCAAGCACGGTGCGCAGGATGAGACAGCCTGATCAGTTGCCCCTGGCAAGCACGACGATGTCACAAACCCTCCTGCATGTTCCTCCTCAATTTGATAAACACAAATGGGCAAAGCTTTGAAGGAACAAAGATTGACTTCCGGAACTGCTTGCAGAAAGACTGTGCTCACTTTCTTCTCAGTGCAGCGGTTGCCTTTTTTGCCGCAGCCCGTCGATGCTTGACCTCGTCGTACCGCCTTATATTGGGCTCAGGGCCTGTCTTTCCCGCTGCTGCCCAGATCTGACGCATGGTCAGTTGCAGGCCTTTTACATACTTGTCGATAGTGGGGCTCCGCTGCGAAGAGGGTCAAAATGAATGAGATAGAGGGTCAGAATGAATGAGCAGGATCGGATTCTACAACACTGGAGCACCATCACTTTACCAGCTCAAACATAAGTATGCAAACGGTTGCAGATACTTGGAACAACAAACAAGTTCTAAGACAGGATCACATATTGGTCCGAGCTTGTGCCCCCCACAACAGAGATTGTACAAAGCTACATTCTGATTGAGACAATTGGGACCCACCTCTTCTTCGATCTCGTCAAAAAATGTTCGTACATTCTTCTCATTCACTTCTTGCTGTCCTTCTAGATTATATGGGTCACCTCTCCAGAACTTCTGTAAGAAAAGTGACATTGCCTGAGCTCAAATCTTTCCCAATCTTTCCAACTTTGTTCCTATCAGTTGCAAACTGTGCAGGGAAGCGCCCACGTTTTGGCTGTGACGTACAAACCTCTGACAATTGCCCTTGTAAATCCGTCAAACTTTATTGGAAGAGAGATTCTAAACATCTGCCAAGCATTAGTACCTTCGCACTCGAAACTCAATCTTTGAGATGCAGGACTTAGGCATGGCAGTCTGGTCTTCTGAAACAACAGAACAGATTGATGCTCTCAACAAGCTGCAGATGACAAGGCTGTGTCAACATCAGATCATCAATCACTGGACTGACTCAAGCTTCATACAAACCTGAAATGCTCGCAATGCACCGCGCTGATTGTTCTTTGTGGCCGGTGCCTTTCTCACAGCCGCCGCTTGAGCATGCTTCTGAGCACGTCGGCGCCGCACCGATCGAGGAGAGGGCGCCGCATTACGAGGTCCTTCCGCTTCAGCACTCTCTTGGACAAGAGGAGAGTGTGCTTCGGAAGTATCGGCACGCACAAACTCTGCCTCCTGCTCAAAAGACTCCGTTGTCTGCTGGTGGTGAATGCCATTTTGACCCCCTCCGCCACTATCCTCACTGCTGGTCTGCTCAGATTCGGTCTTCTCCGCTTCAGAGTTAGACTTCTCCATTTCGGAATTGGAGCTGGAACCTGAATTGCCCTCAGAGGGTGTGACTTCTTCTTCTTCTTCTACAACCTCTTCCTGCAAAGTGTCCCTCTGCTGACTTGCAACAGGCTCAGGTCTAAGAGCCCGGGCTCTCTTGGATCCCCTGCCCTCCAAAGCTGAGCCTTTTCTTTTCCTGGCAGATTGCATGGACCGACTAGCTTGGCTCATCTTCCTAGCTACTCTGACTGGACTGGAAACATGAACAGGGACTGTCTTGAACCTGGGCATGATGAATTGACCTCTGAAAACGCAGCAATTGCAGAACACAGGCTGCCCCCAAGCACAAGCTTCTAAGTGTTGCCCTGATGCTCCATGCTCACTGCAAACCCATGACTATTTTCCTTGGGCTGCAAGTAGAGAGATTTTGGAAAGCAATGCCATCTTTTGCTTATGCTCCTTGCTGAATGCTTTGAATGTTTTGCAACCTGATTGTTTGCCGCCAATTTCCTAGCAGAAGTCAGTCTTCTTGAAAGTTGGAAGACGGTGGCAGCCTGAGGCTGAAGCCTGGACCTGCCAGCAAGATACCTGCAACCCGTTTCAATCACGCAAGAACCGGGGGTTCTTGTTTCCTTCCTTGGGTCACAATGCTGGGGCTGCTAGGTCCTGCTTTCGACATTCGAAGATTGCAAATCACCGGGCAGGCCCGGAAGCATCCGCCCTTCAAAACCCTAAAGGCATGGGACCGCACTCTAGCCCGGGCTAGCAGCTAGGGTCAGGTCCCCGTCCGCCGAGTCGTCCACGGCAAAGTCCCAAACTAAAATTGCCCGGCGAAAAATGATCCTTTCCCCCTGCCGCGCGTCCGACCGTCGGTCCCCAGCCAAATAAAACGTCCGCCGAGAATAAATTCCCGACGGCATGGGACTTCTGAATAAAGGCGTGACCTTGAAGCTTTTCAGCAAATGGCATCATGCCACGTGTCGACCACGAGGGTCCCACGTGTGCCTTGCAAGTCATTAGTAGGGCTCGGCCCGGGCCAGGTCCAGCTCGGCCAGACAGTCGCGATTAAAGTAAACGCGACCATGACTCGTGAGGCGCCCCTGAGGCGCACATCAATGTCTGACTCTCAGAAGCCTTTCTTGTCGTTAAAAAGACGACAGGAATTGGCAGAAGTTGAAAAGGTTCGCGACAATCTGTGTCATGTCACTTGAGGCGGCTCGCGCCCTGCGCTGCTGCGGGTGCAGCGCCGGGAAAGGGGAAGAATTGCAAGCTGTGTTGAGGAGTCAGCTCTATGGCTACCACTTATCTTGAGCAGCACTTCATCAGGTGATTGCACAAATTCTGCTCTCAGATTGCTTCAAGAAGGTTTTTAGTCTTTGAGGTGCTCCCAGCTACTTGTGAAAACTGGGGACTTCAATGAGTTGGTGAAGCTGCGCAGGGCAAGCAGCTCAGGAGGACATGCGGATTACAGCTTTGACGGTGTCAAAACAAGATACCATAAACCCCATCAGTGATATGATTGTCAATGCTGCTTCGTCAACTGAAGAGATTCCAAGTGGGACAAACGTTGCTGTGGAGGTCACTGGATCCTATCGTGCCACCGAAAGGAGCTGCCTGAGTCCAATGTTAGAAGAAGAAGGGCAGACAACATTTTGATGTTTATGAAAAGGGTGGACTTATCATGATCAGTAGTCTTTGCGTTTGCCCCCTGGTTCACTGCGTGTGGGGCCCTATGCAAGAAAATCTGAGGGCTTGAACAGATTCTCTGTCTGTGTTGTCTTGTTTTTAAATAAGCATTGGCTTCTGGCATTCAAATATCCTTTTGAAAGCGCTCTACAAAGCTTGACCCTCTGCCAGAATCTCCAACACCGTAGTGGTTTCGTTTTGTGGACTCCTGGTTGATACTCTGTACGTTTGCAAATGAGAGCCACTTTATGAGAATAGCAGCCCTCCACTTTTCGAGGCACATTGACTATGTTTGATGTTCCTAGCTCTATTGTGCAGGCTCACTTTGGACGCCAACTCCTGCTGAGGCATCTTCCCCAAGGCCTTTGAGTATGGAGGACATTTGCCTAGAGCTGCTGGAACGATACACTTGGCTCACTTCAGGCTGGTGAGGTGCACAATTGATGCCAGCTCCTTTGAAACGCTGATTTTCTGATTGTCCAGCCCTGAGGCTTCGAAATCTGATTGACCAACTCATTACATGGCCCGTCTCTGTTGGCGGCTACTTCTGTGGCTCGCAACCTCGTTCTTACGTTAGGGGCAACGCTTTTCTTTTCTTTTAGTAATGGAATGTCTGCTTTGAACACCAGGAAATAGCAGATAGAAGCTTGAGAACCTCCCTGGTTGCCATGCCGTGAGGAGCCGGTGCCGTAACACGTTGTGCGCACGCGGCCGCGGTCCGGTAGAGTAAGGCGGGCGGCTGACAGGTGTCATCCACGCGGAGGTTTCGGGGTTTCCGAGGCCCCGGTGGCCTGTCGAGTCCGCACGAGGGCAATCCCCCACCGTAGAGTGATAGCCAGTGACAAGGCTAGGTCACACGAGAGAGACCACATGCTAGGGTTGACAGTAGTTGACTCCCGGTCGATAGCCGGACCTCCGGCTGAGTGTAGATCTGGGACCGGGTAATTCCATCTCCGGCCTAGTGGTAGTGCTAGTATAACTACTTGCTTCTAGAGTAGTGTGACTCGCTTCTCAAGTTGCAAGTTCTCCACGAGCTTCCTTGTAAAGGACAATGGCGACCGAGCATGTGAGAAGGACCTGAGCATTCAGCCGTGGTGT